TTCTTCTTTATTAAGTTTCACATCAGCTAAAAGAAAGAATAGTTTTATGAATTATCTAATTTTTGTTGTTTATTGATTCAAATCATAATTTTGAAAATGAATAAAAATTATCTTATTTGAAATAGTATTATTTTAATATTAATTTAAGGAAATAGATCTTTATTAACACCTTGCAGTTTATATATTTTTAAAATACACTAAAAGCTATATTTAAAATTAATTAAATAAGAAGCAAAATTTATTAAACATAATTCAATAATTCTTATATTATAGTATATTATAATTGATAGAGAGTCTAACCTTATAAAATATAAATCATTTAAATAAAGCTTTTTTGGGTTGAATATTTTGGAATTGCTTTTCGATTATAATGACAATTTATTATAAAGGAAAAACTATCATATAACAAAATAATTGATAGATTGAAATCAGAATTATGTAAATCTCTTCAATAAAATAAACTCTCTTTAAGAAGAAGATAAATTATGAATTAAAATTAATTACTAAATTGATTATATTAATTAAAAGATAGATTATTATCAGTAGTATTATGATGTTTGTTTATATAGATTATATATATAAATTTATTTAAATAATCTATTTCATAACTGTAATATATTTTATTAATAAATCTATCATTTATTTATATCATTCGATATCTTCAATAGCTCCTTTTTATGTGAATAGTTGATAAATTGACTATTTATTTTAGTTGATTTATGCTTTTTTTACTATGCATTTATTGGCTAATATTAGAGATTATCTGGTAAATGATTTATAACAAATCAATCGGAATTATTTATTTATATGATCTATTACTTAAACCTAACTATTTTCTTAATTTCCATCATTTTATTTGATATTTTAAGTCTTGTGAATTAAATCAATGGAATATTAAATTAAAGATCCATCATAAACTGCTGCTGAAAAATCAGTTCCATTAGGACTAAATGTAAAATCATAAATTTAATCATTTTAATTTTCTATAATTAAATTATTTTTAGAGTTATTCATTATAGTAGAAGATGGTGACAAATCCCATAGATAAATTGATCCCAAATAATTACCAGCTATTAATAGAGTTCCTAAAGGATTAATATCTAAAGAAACCATATAGAACTATTCTTCAATAGGAATTTTCCTGATCAAAGTTAAATTAGTTTTATCTAGAATTTTGACTATAAATATGTTAAAATCAGAAGAAGATTACAAATATTGAATCTATAGAAGCCGATTTTATATATTATCCTTCAATATCTTAGAATTAGCTATCTAATTAAGTTTCTATCTGTTCTAAAGTTGAAGTAAATAATTTAGGAGTTCCATTTATTAAAGTTATCAAATTTTAGAAATCTGATGAATATAAAAGTCCACTAACAGACTTAAAAATTAACTCCCTTGCATGTTTTTGCCTTATATTAGTTAATTGTAAAGATTCCTCTAATTTGTAAATTACAAACTGACCATTAGCTGAAATAACAGGATTTGAATCATTTTAATTGTTTTTATAGTATATAGCCACTTATTAGCATTATCTATCATTTCTAATTCTCCATACTTTTATTGAATTATCAAATCCACAAACAAAATATTCTTAAGTCGAAGAAAATTACATACTTTTTATAGGTTAATCAAATAAAATTGTTTATATTACTTAAATATTCGCTAGGTTTGTTATATCTAAAATTTTGATTTCTTTCTCACTACCTATTATTAAAGTCTTTAGTTGTATAAGCATAACTTTGTTTCCACACAATTAAGAATTATTTAAAAGTTATGAATTATTCTTTAAGTCCCATATGACTAAGCCTTAATAACCTATTGAAACAATATAATTTCCATTGTAAGTACTGTGAAAATTAATTGGTGTATGCTTTTCATCAAATAAAATTGTAGTTGATCCATGATTCATAAATTGAATATATGCATTTTGATCATGAACTACTTTTAAAATTGATAAATGCTTAGGACAGAAAGTATAAATTGTAGAATTATCTATCTTCCAAAAATATTTTTATTTTATTTAAAGATCTTCTTAAATATAATATACACATATTGAATCCTGGAAGGAACAAATTAACTCAGTATCATCATTTGTAAATGTTAAATTAATAATTTTTTTTTTATAAATCAAATTATTTTCCTTTACAATTTCTTTTTCATGATTCCATAAATAAATCATAGAATCTGATGTGGATATAGCAACTAAAATTTCATTAATAGAAATAGTTGCAATTCCATACAAACCTTAAATTGGTATTTAATAGTTTTTTTTATCATTTAGATTAATTAAGGTAATTGGTCTATTAAAGTATGAATAAACTAAATAATTGAGTTGTTTAGAAAAATTTAAACTAAAATTAGTCTCTGTATAAGAATTTGCATATTCCATAATAATTTCATTAGATTTGTCACACTTTCTAATTATGTAATTGTCTGATACTGTAAATAAAATATTTGAATCATTCCAGTTAAACTCAAAAATCTACACACTTTGTCCTAGATCTGGAACTTCTTAGTATTTATTTTCAAAGATTTCAATTATATTAATTGTTTAATTATCAGAAACTGCTATAAATCTATTATCATTGGATACTTTAACTTATTTAGTATTAAGGT